TTATGCGTTGCGGGCATATGTTGCTTTAAATTTTGACGTGAACATTCACCTTTCCTTTCAAAATAAAACAGTTTCAACTATTGGTTTTATTTAGAGCATAATATCATAACTAATGTATATTTTAAATTGTTTAAGTTTACTGAAAATAGGTTTATTTGGATCAGAAGCATTTTAATTCTACTGTCACCGAATATATATAAAAATACCTATCAAACATACACAAAAAAACATGAATTTAATTTATCACGTTAGAAGGCTTCTACAAATTTATTGGTTGGTGTCTGTGAATAAAGGACTTCTTATAGTGCACAGGACACTTTCTACAGCGAACAAATTAAAAGTACTCATTGCTATTCACACAAGAATACTAAACTGCAATTTTGAAATACAAATAATGGAAACCTAGGCCATCTTAACAATTCGTTGAATAAGACACAACTACCATCAGCTGCTTATACAATTTTTCTGCATATTGCAAGAGACTCTGGGGCAAAAAGATGATTTCTTTCACATCTTTAATTTAAAAAAAGTAACATGAAACTATTCACAAATGGCACCCACAAAAATTTGAGAACATATTTCTCACTTCAATTTAGAAATTGAAAGCAACAGAAAAGAATGTTTATCCTCACTACATCATACTTTTGAAAGCAATGACCATAATCAGTTTCACATTCCCTGCCCTCAGACAAGTTGAATTGAGCATAAGAAACTAAGAAAATACTGCAAGTGTTAAAATAGCTTAAGCAAGATCATAAGTAACCAGAACCTCTTCAAAACATGTTAACCTTAATGAAGAAGCAATAATCACCCGATAAAAATCACATTACTATGAAAATTTAAGAACAAAGTTCAATAGAAAAGTCATTACAAGAAACCGTTGTCACTCTGATCTGCAACGAAACAGTTGTTTTGTTCCGAAGCACAATAAATGGTATATGCGAAGGTATCATGCTGAGAAGACTAATCTGAGTGATTAAAAACATGATTTTTTGACCTGAGCTTTTTGATCTTTGACACTCATCCCACTCCATCTACACAACAAAATTAATTAAGATTTTAGAATGAAAATATCACATCCCACCACATCTCACCCCTAAAATTAATCAACATCACACTCTGCAATATCTACATCCTCCAAGAGTCTGGGTGAATTCTTATCCCAGGTCTCTCAAGTTTTCATGTCAACAAGGTCTGTCTTTTTCATTAGAAAATAAATTGCTTTTGTGACCCTGGCCATCTACTTTAGATGATGTGAAATTTTAACACACATAGGATCATACCTTTAGTTTAAAAGCAACATAAGAACTAAAGTGTATAGCAAACATCCTTACATTCAACCATAAAATGTTTTTAAATTCATGTCAAAAACCAACCATCCCCCAATCAGTGGAATGAACACCAGAAATCAATCTTTACATCCACCATATGATTAGAGTGGCATGAAACAGATCTGACATTTGTGAAAAATAAGTGCACTACCTTTTGGAATCCATCCAGTAGATACTAATTGCTGCTAAATCAGTAAAACAAAGTACAAAAAATGCATTTTCAGGGATGAATTATCAGGTGTGCAACAAAATGTGTGGTCCAATATACTAAGAGTATACCACTGGGTTTGAGAGACAGCAACAGGAAACATGACATGAGGGAGGGCACGTGACAGCACAAACAAAGATGCAGAAGTGAGGGCTGGTGCTAAGAGCTAAAGCAAAAAATGGTGATGGGGGGGTCTGAGAGTGAGGGAGAGACAGAGGCAGCAAGTGCGAGGGACAGGTGGCGAAGGAGTGACAGCAGATTGAGCAAGGGTGAGAGAAAGGCAGCCATATTGAAGGAGGGGCTGTGACGGTGAGGGAGGGTCAGCAAGACAGAGTACCAGGCAAGCATGGCAAGTGCAAAGGAGAGGGAGGGGCAGCAAGTTCAAGGACAAGGGAGGCAGAGGAGCATGGGGGGGGGGGGGGGGGG